ACTTTACTGGTTGACATCATAGCCTGACGAAGGACGACTGAAAAACAATCTTCTGAGTAGATGTGTGAGCGGAGTTGGAATACCTAGAAACCCTGCCAATCGCTGTTGTTGGGTAGAGCCCTAAGTGAGTATTTGTCATCTCGAAGGATGACGTTCAAAGCCTTATGTTCTTCACATTGTCTTCAATGAACAACTAATCGTCAAAGTATGCGTATTCATTGATTCACAATTTATGATTTGTCACAGCATTGCACTCAGTGCTTATCGGTGCACCTCAACACCGAATACGGATACGAAGGACCGAGTAATCAGATAATTCGCGCTTGGTGGTAAAATTGACTGTGTTTTGCAGTGATACATCTGGACCCAAAATGACCTTGAATGGCTAGGTATGATTGGGCGATACTATGAGGAATCGCGCAGTAACCTGGGCTGCGAAGATTGGCTGAACCGGTCAATGGGCACGCCCTAATTAGGCTTCAAACCCCTTAAGTCATGACAGCAAGCTGTTTGCTGTGGTGAGGTGACCGAAATGCTCAATCAAATCCAACGACCGGACAGTTAATATAATCGGCGTGGAAACGTACAACACGTATTCTCGTGCATACCAATTAGTTAACGAGCATCTCATACGGCAACCCTTTAAGAGCCACAAAGCTCCTCACAGCCGACAAAAAAGTCATCATACTTGCAAATTTCGTCCAAGAGCGATATAACCTCGGAAAACAATGCACGCACAACCACGTGAAGGGTGAAAGAGAGCCAGAGGAGGTCAAACAATGGCTTGGTTGTGAAGTATAAAAGCCATTACCATTGTCGTCTTCCTGGATGGGGATCCCGAGAGAGGCCATATCACTGGTCAAAGACATTGTCAGACATGGCCCAGTCGCGCTCCCAATGGCGCTCATGCATCCAAGCTATTGTCTTCAATGCATAGCTCTCTTCCCAATCCCTCCATTTAACCGTCCACCTACAGCGCTGTATTTATGCACTAATTTATCAGCTCCCACCTCCAATGCGCAGCTACCTACCCCACCTCCCCGAATCATCGGTGAACGAAACTGTGGAAGCTACAACCATTGTATCACATAGTACGCGGTTATTACAGCTGACAATGATGATGATGATTCATTCCACAGCAGCTGAATTTTTAAGCAATACAGATATCCATTCGGTCTATTAATTCGTTTGAAATTGCTGCGCAAACTACATTGGTCCAACGGCCCGACGCCTGGCACAGAACGTTGCAAAGTACTACTCGAAAGATCTGAGGTTTAGTGTTCAAAAGTCAGGGGACAGTGCGGCTCTAAATTGTCTGGTGGAAAGAGCACATTAGATCAACTGGGAAAACGCATTCAGACCTGTCTACCGGGTCCTTCCTACAGCTAAATTGTTCGTGATCAGGCTTGTGGAGAAGCCAGTCTGCGCCCAGAAGCAACACTAATTCGACAAAGTTTTACTGTCTCACCAATGATCGGCCAAGAACAGCCAGTAAGGTCATATGACCTTACTGTCATTCGAAGGTATTCAATACGTCTACACGTCTTAGTTCACTTGGTATTTGTAGATATGCACTCGTAACAGCCAGCGGAGACTACCTAAAACAATTGTTCTGAGGAATGCTTGCCGTTTTTGTAATTCCGTTTTCATAACCGAGGAATGGAGTTGATAGTGTCATGAACTGCCTGAGCCTCATCCACAATAACCCCTTTTACATATCCAATCACCTTCGTGGTTTACACAACTAAGGTGGTTTCCAACTAAGGCGAAAAAAGGACTGTGCTTATTGGATGCTGATCAGATGGAATGCGATCTAACTGCCAAGCTCCGCGAACAGAACACCAGCCGGTCTGGTTTCAATTTTACAAAAAATCACTGATTCGGACACACTCATTTGCCTGATGGCAACATACAGCACAGAACTTGGTAATTTAAGCTTTCTCTGATCAACATCTCAAGTAAGGTGCCATATTTCTAGATAAGATTTCGTCTGAATACCACGAAATTATGGGTTCCACAGAGCGATTACAAGGAAATCACTTGAAGTGATAGACGAGTATATTGCCATCATCAATCTCATTGACAAAACTCATGGGTTTTCATCATTCATAGGTGCGAGACTCGTGAGTTAGTTTTGATCACCTAATTTGGAAGCATCTGTCCCTGAGGCTATTAATTTGATTTCATCATCATCACCATCATCAGGTGTAAGAGCCGCGTACTTGGTGTACACTGGTTCTAGCCGAAAAGTGGTCCGTTCTGAAAGCTGGGGACGAGATGGCCCAAGTGGCTAGTGCACGAATTTACTAACAGGAAGGTCCGTGTTTTGAAGCCGATGTCCGCCTCTCGACTTCCCCTGTCTAGGCTTGGGCAACCTGGCAGTATCCAAGCCCTAGTGAAACCTTCGGGTGGCATGGCAGCTAGGCGCCGAAAGGGTGATACAGCTGGACGGCTCTTTCTGAAAGCTAGAAATATAAATCTAACAATAAAAAGCAGAAACATTAGTTGAAGTTGTTTTTTGTGGCATATCTCTCACCCTTTCGAGTTCAGCAGTTTGTAGTGCAAACGAGACACAAATTCAATAGTTTCAGGTATTTTTAATGCAAGCGGTTGATGTGCTTCAATCGATGGGGCCGAAGGCAACAAAGCATGACCTCTGAAGCCATAATTCGTAAAACGGGATGATTGATAGATCGCGCAGTGATAGTCAAGAAAATATATGCAATGGGGGGGGGCTTTTACGGCACATCTACAGAGGAACCATACGAAACAGAAGGCAAGGATGAGGTTTCAAGCCTTTCCGCGTTGACCACTACCGAATGTCTGGATAAGGCTAAAGGAAACAGAATCTTGAGCAGACAGCGCTGCTGGGATTGGCTTTGTTCCCTTCTTACAACCCATAGTGATAAACGTAAACTCGCAATCACAAAGAGTGTATCGTTTGCGTGAAACACGGAGCACTCATCGGACCTGCATTGTGCACTCCTTAATAAGATGTGGACGCCCGAACGTTCCTTTGACAAGTAGAGTGAGCGAATTTTGATCGCTCTTCAGAAGGATGTTGAATAAAATTCATCGTAACTAGTGGCCAGTGATCCTAGATGATAAGTGGTCTCCCAATATTATCATTTATTTTTGAAGAGCATGGTCACAAACATAAAAAGCGGATGCAGGCAAGGCATGCGGAAGGGTAACAGGAGAATATGGGATAAAAGAGAGAAACGTCTCATTCGAAATCATGCCA